GAGTGGAATCAGACCTCAAAATTCTCCTCATACTGAAAATTATATTTGCTCATTGCCACCTGGCACAGCTGTATTTCTTGAAGGACTCTTATTTCTGGGGCAAGAGGGACACTCAGCTCACTGAGAGGACTTGCACTGGGAACGAAGTGGGGACTTTGCCCAGAGAAGGAATAGTTAAAGACAGGTCTCAGGGCTTTCTACTTAGTTGTCCCCTCCTCTTCTCCATCCCTTCCAAGTGTCCAAGCTGTTCTCAGTTGGCTTGAAACAGCCCCATGTCCAGGTAGTTGTACATGTGTCCAGTGTCCTAGGGACACACTCCATTGGGATGGTTTTCATCTTTTCAGTGTACAAATCCCTCCTAATAAATGCAAGATTCTGAGGGTGGAGCCAAGGAATTTTCAGCCTAGGGGGTTTCCAAATTCTGCCTCCCTACCTACCCTCCAGTAACTGCAGGACACAGTAGCTTACTTTATTTTCTCAGAGTTGACAAGATTCTCATTCAAGACAAATAGCAAATTTTCATGAGAAAGGCTGAACCATGAATAACCCATCTCCAGCCAAGGTCATGTGGGAATTGTGGCAGGGCCCACAAGGGTCAGGAGTGCATAGAAATGGATGAGGACCCAGGGCAGGTTTGGGCTCTACAGAGGATGCACATAGGAGCTGAGGCTGAGAGTCTTAACCCGAATGCCTATTGATTGCCAGACAGGGAAACTGAGGACTTAAGAGAGGAAATAAGTATTAGCCACAAAGATACTTCCTGGTCTTAGGGTCCCAACTTCTCTTCCCTCTCTTGGACACCATCTGAGGGAAAAACTGAGTCCGGCTCAGCCAAGACCCTATGCAGCTTTGCAGACAGGTAGCTCTGCATCTTTAGAGTTTGGAAAAGTGGGACTTCAGGTCATTGCAGAGAGTCCTTCATTCCTAGGCAATATGGGCTTGATGCCAGCAACACACAGAGCCAGGTGTAAGGATCTTACAAGAGTAGATTTGCCAAATTCTGGGACCTAAGGGTTCAACATCAGGAGCCTTCTGTTCCACCCCCAAGGATCCTGTTCCCAAACTTGGTGCCCAAGGATCACTCATGTCTACATAATCCTTCATCACAGTGTCCAGCATCACCAGGTCAATAAGGAATGTGCCAAGGAAGGGGATGACAGTCTGTGCCACTGGTGGTAGTTGACCAGCGCAGCTCCCCAATGAGACAGGAAACGCTTCAGGTGGGTAACAGGAACTGCCAACTTTATTGTTGCGGGTTCTGGCTTATATATCTGACTGTGGCCAATCAGGCTGCCACGAGGGCTGCCACAAGGAGGAAGGGCTGGAATGAGACGCGGGCTCTGGCTAATATACTCAGCTGTGGTGAATACGAAGTGAGTACAGGGTGACTAATTTGGAGAGGGACGTAGCGCATTGCGGAAGCTGGCGTGGTCCTTAGTCCCGGGTGGGGTATGGTATGTTGAGCACCTGCGCCCAACAGTAGTGATGATGAGTATCGACTCCCAGGTTCCACTCAAGACCTGTAAGTCCCCCTGAAACCTCATGCACCTGTCTCTTATCCCTCTCTGGGACACTAAACTACCTTCCTCCAATTCTCTCACTCCTATATTACTGAATGACTTCCTATGATACCAAACATCCCTACTCAACTCCAGGATAATTTTTTCAACCCTTTGTAGTTCTCATCTTGGGACAGGGCCCAGCTAAATCACTGAGTTGCCAATCTGAACCTGAATGTGTTATCCTTCTGCTCAGCCTCCCAGAGTGCTATGAATACAGTCACATGTCACCATGCCTGGCCTCCCTTGTAATAATTAGCATGTATCCTGTGATGGAGTGTCTGTCCCCTCCTTTGCCCATATCTGCTCTGAGTAAAGCTCCTCCAGGGCCTTCTCAAAGGCATCTCCGGCAACATAGGAAAGGAAAGACTGGAGGAGAAAAGGGCTCTATTCTCTCAGTGTGAAATGTTGGGCTGGAAGGTGGGGAGGCTTTGCTAGCCTCTGACTCCTGGTACCCTCCCTAGCACAGCTCACTCATCTTCTTTTGCTGGCCTCATCTGGGCTCTCTGATGGTTGATCTCTAGCATAGCATTCTTGGAGAGCTCCATCTGCCAGGGTCTAGTGGGGCTACTGAGATTTTTTTCCCTTCAGAGCACTGTCCCTCTGAGTTTACACCCTACATGTCTGGCTCCTGTCTCTGTTATCACTTGAATCTGTTTGCATATTCAATCCCAGCTCCCATGATTGCTTGGGAAGTCACCCTGGGCATGTGGCCTGGCAAGCCTGAATTGCTTCCCTATCTCAACATACACCTGCTTCACAGAATCTCCTGCAGACTCAGTTTGTATAATTATCATTGCTGTTATTGCCACCTTTCTGAGGAAGATCCAGGAGGAAACACCTGAACTTTAACTCATTGCCACACTATGCTGCCTGCACTAAGCTTTCAATTTTCCTCTCTCCAAATGAGGAATCTGAGGTTCAAGCAGGTTGGTTGATAGGGTTTTCATTGAGAGGAAAGAGAAAAAAATATAAAGAAACAGTAGCCTTTATTCCAAGGACATGGAAAAGAGTCCAACAATCAAAGACGACCAGGCCTCTTCTGATCAGGATGTGGGGTATAAGATATATATATATATATATATATATATATATATATATATATATGACTGTAGCCCTTCCAGGGGGAGAACCACCAGTGGCTCCTGAGATCCATGCCATGTTAGAACTTAGGACATTGGGAAACCAAGCAAGCAGCTCCCCTCCCTGGTAAGCAGCGGTGGTGTGACCAGCTGCAGCCCTTCCAAAGGAGAATCACCAGCAGCTTCTGAGATCCAAGCCATGTTGGAACTTACGAAACTGGGAAACCAAGCAACCAGCCTGCCTCCCTGCTAAAACAATAGTGAACCTACTAGTGCACGTCCTAGAGTCAAACATCCCACTTTCCTTGCCCCCCTTTACCTTCCCCCCCCCATTAGCAAATGGAAACCAGAAATCTAAGCATCTCCTGGGAGGTTGACCATAGCAAATATGGGGGATTTCCTTCTACCATCTCTTTGAAGGCAAATATTTTTATTACTGTTTTGCTCTATTCTGATTAATGGTACTGCTCTATTCAAATTCTGTTTTGACAAATTCTATAATGTTCTGTATTTCATTTTATTTTGATATACGTGATTGAAAGAACAACTATTATAAAGATAATGAAAAATACTATGATACCTATTACTGTTATCCCAGTAACCTGCTGTGAGGTTCTATACCAATTTCACTGTACAATCTAAGTTGACTTTATTCTGTCTTGTTCTGTATTTTACCACTTTCAAAGTAAAATTTAAAAAAAATATATATATATATATATATATATCTGACCAGAGGTTGTGCTTAGGGCAAGCATTGGTGACACATGAGCAGCTGATTGGGACTTTCTTCACACCACTAGTAAAGGAAAAAAGAAGTTGTCACAGAGGAAGGGGAAGTGACCTCAAGGTAAGCATCCCTTGGTCCTGCCTCCTATTGCCATAATATCATATCTAGGGCAAAATCCTTTCATTGCCGTCTTTTTATTGTTAGGGAAAGGATGAAGTCTCTCTCTTAATACTTCCTGCTGAAAGGGGGCACCATATTAGGGTTTAGGAAGGTTGATGGGATGATGGTTGATGCCTATGTAGAAGCTGGTGCCAGGTGTTTTAGCCAGGACAACTTCATCATTGGTGAATACCCACATGATAGACTAGGAAACTGTGGTGCTATGAGGAGGAAGACCGCTATCATATTTAAGGACCCAGGTGAGGTAGAAGGAAAGGTGCCTTTGATTTAAATATGCCATTCCATCAGGATCACTGTGAAGCAGAATCATTGCCATGATGAGGTAGAATTCTGAAAAATAAGTGTGGGGTTAGGAGGAGTGAAGTTATGAGAGGTGTTTTTTTTTTCATCCCAAAGGGTAAAAGTTAAAAATATAGGTATATAGGACTTGTCTCTGTTCTAGGAGTTGACTAGAAAGAATAAGAGGGATGGGGAGGGCGTTGGCTGTGTCACTATAAGGGAGATAAGAGCCTAGGCCTTCAGGGATCTCACATTTGATTAAACAACAGAGGGTAAAAAGAACTAAGACAGTTGTCACATAGAACAACATGAAAACAACCTTATGCATGATGTGCAAGTCTTTAGGAAAGACTGTTAAGAGTCCTGCTGTAAAAAAGATCATTAATAGAATGTAAGGCATTGGGAACCAAATTGGATAGCAAAACATGACTTAGCCTGATAGTTGTGGCTGTGAGGCCTTGGTGAGACTGAGATGGGTGGGTAACAGAAGATGAGATGACCACTCAGGATGGTTAGATTCAGGGTTGGGAGGGCACTGCTTAGCCTGAGTGACGTGAAACCAGGATGGGAGTCCAGTAACTTTGACCACTGTTGGGGTTGCCAAGAAGACTAGGTAGGGGCTGCTCCACCTTGGTTGTAGTCCTGTGGATTTAGAACATTTGAGATAGGTTAGATCTCCTGGGGATATGGGAGGATCTGGTTTGGTCCCTTCAGAGGGTTGGTGAAGGCAGAGATCAGCTTGTTGTCATAACAAGTGTCGGAGAAAGGAGAGGACTGGGATGTAGTCAGCAAGAGGAGGAGACTTTGGGGAGTAGGAAGATTGTGGAGTAAAAATGGCCTGCCGTACATAAGTTCAAAAGGACTTAAAAATATAGGAGCCCAGGGAAATGCCCCGAACTTGGCTAAGGCTAGGTACAGAAGTTGAGGCCAAGGTTGGTGTAGTTCTAAAATGAGCTTTGTAAGACGTGTTTTTATGAGGCCATTTGCCTTTTCTACTGTTCCTGAGGATTTTGGATGGTATGGGATGTGTAGGCACCAGGAGATATGTAAGCTTGAGGATACCTGTTGAGTGATCTTAACTTTCTTTCTCCATCCTCTTTTCATCCTCCACCTCCACCCCAGGAACTTTGAGAGCTTCTCAGCACATGACAGATTGAAAGAAGGCAAGGGACATTAGGTGGAAAGATTTTAATAATCATTTCAGTCAACATTCTCTGGCTGTCTCGCATCTCAGTAGGCAAAGTTCTTGAAGTGTCTGGTGTAAATCCTGGGATGTCTCCAGATGCTCAGGATCTGCAAAATTCCTTGTCTTACCTTATCTGCTTTATGATATCCTATGTTTGCCAATGTAAGCCTGGGTGCTAAGCTGAGTTCCCTGCTGAGAAGAGTGTCTCTGCTGCAAAGTAGGTTTGGGGCTGGGAGAGTCAGGTCTGACTCATGCCTTACAGAAAGTAACTCCCATAAGCCCCAGTACAGTTTTGGCCAGGGCTGCCCTCTTCCCTTTGGACTGGGATGAGTCAGAAATAGACAGGTGATACACATGGACAGTGACCAGGCCTCGAGCTGCCTGCACAAACATCCTGAACTCAGGCCCCCTGCCCAGCCCTGCAGGGAGTACTGGACCCCAGCAGCTCTGCTTCTGACAGCTGGTACCACAAGCAGACTGACATCTTTGAGGTCAGGGCCAAACAGCCTCCCCCAAGACAAAAATAGCAGTCAGATGACTGCAAGAGCCAGCTCACCACTTTCTCCTCAAAGCTGGCTGCTCCCAGCACCAGAAGCAGCTAAAAATAGGCATAAAGGGCATAAGTCTTGGGCACAGCCAGAGGGGACAGCACACTACCTTAGCCCAAGGCATAATGAGATCTCTTCGCTTCATTGCTGCGGAAGCCCTCGTGTCCCACCCCTCACTGGCCAGGGACAGCCTGGACAGTGTGGCTTACAACCTCTACCCACTCCTATTCAAGACCAGTTACCTGCTGGAGCAGGCAGAAGTGACCCGCGCTGTGTTGAGATGTTGGCCCCTCGAGGAGTTCCGGCTGGCCATGCTGCTGGAGCCCAGCACTGACCACCCAGCGGACTTGCGTGACCGGGCATGCAGGACCTGCCTGGAGGCCTGCATGCAAGGCCTCAGTGACCATGTGCTGCAGAGTGGGAGCCACCGGCTTCGGCTGGCAGACCTTACAGGCATCCGAGATGTGCAGGAACAGCGGTGTCCCTGTGGGAGGGTGCTGGGAAGGTGGGGCCGTACCCAGTTGCTAGCCAGGACCTGCTGTGAGCTGCAAGCACAGACCTGTGTGGCTGGGCACCCTGTGGAGGTACTAGCGGACCTCTTTGTAACTAATGGCAACTTCGAGGCAGTGGTGCAGGCTCTGCGACCAGCAGTTCCAGCTCCACTGCAGGTGCGCTGCCTCTCATTCCGTGCAGACAGCCTGAGCCCCGGGCAGCTCCTGCTTGTGCTGGGCCTGGCTGAGCCAGCTGCACTGCGCAAGCTAGAGGTGGTGCACAATGTGAGGTTGCACGCTGGCCACGTGTTGCAGCTGCTGGCTCAAGTGGGCTTCCCTCAGCTGGCTTCCCTCACCTTGCCCACCAAGGCCTTTGATGTGCCACCTTCCTATGCTCCAGCCCCTGAGGGCCAGGACTCCCTCCTTGCCTCCATCGCCTGGGAGCTGAGCCGCATGACCCAGCTTACCGAGCTCAATGTGGCCTTCTCCTCTCTGACAGGGAAGATTCGGACTCTGCTTGGGTAAGTAGAGCACTGCACAGGGTAAACAGGACCACTGAGGAGGCACCAGCAATGGAGTACAGGAATGGCTTCCTCACAAGGCCACCAGCTCCCTGGGGCTGCTTTAGTTAGAGGAGCAATTATTACCACCAAGGAGAATGGAGCATGGACAGCACTTGGAAGACTATTTCCAGTTAGCAAAAGAGAATGTACTTACCAGCAAGTTACCAAGGTAGATGGAACATGGTGCATCCTGTGGTTTGCATTGTTATATAACAAATTACCCAGCACCAGTTGCTAAAACAGCAAACTCTGTTCAGACAGAAGTAGAAACATAGATGAGCAGGGAGCCTTTGGCTCCAGCTAGTAGTCAACTGTGAGCAGTGGCTGCAGCCTCTTGAAAGTCTGGCAAGTAGATGTGCCAATACTTTGTGGGCCTGGGCTCCTTGGTATATGGCATCCTCACATGATGAGGGCCATGGGTCTCTCTCTCTGCAGCTCTGCTGTGAAAGAGACGCATTTCAGTGACCCTCAAGTAGAGGTGCTATCCCATTACAGGTGGGATGGGTGGGTCAAATGGGAGTCTGGGTATGGGTAGGCAGGGAGAGACAGCCTCAGCAGAGGTGAAGGGAAAGAGGTCAGAATCCTGCAGACATCTTGCCTCACTGAGCAAGGACTCAGAATCCCTGAGTGTGATGGCCCAAGAATGTGCTTTCTTGCCAGTCTTGGGTATGGTTCCAGAATCTTTCCCAGTTGCCTATTTTCTGACACTGGCTGCTGAACCAACTAAATCAGAATCAGAGATTCAGGGACAAGGAGCCTATGTCAGGGATGCTAGGCTCTCCTTCCCAGCTCTAAAACTGTGGGTTCCACCACCATTACAGCAAGATGGCATTTTCTTTCTTGCTAATTTCTTCACTGTCCTGCAATAAGTCTTCTGAGAAGACAATACTGACATGACCACTTGCTGTACTTACACAGGGAATCTGAAGGGTTTATTGGTAAATCTGCCACTGTGGGTGCTGTGGACAAAGTAGACCCTTGATCATGCAGTGGGTATAGCAGCCAGGATGATTCTGAGCCAAAGGCAAGGCTGTGTTCCAATAAAACCATTTATGGAGCTTTGCATTTCATGTAACTTCATTTGTTACAAACTGGTTTTTTTCAACTATTTAAAGACATTAAAGTTACTCTCAGCTTAGACTGTATGAAATCCCATAGTAGTTGGATAGCAATCCCCATAAGAGACAAAACCAATGGATTACTCTCATCCACCATGGCCTCCAGTTTACCTGGCACCTTCCTCTAACCTGTGCTATTTTCTGCCTGTTCCTTTCAACAGCCCCCTGAGGACTCCACTGCGAGTGCTGGACCTGGCCAATTGTCACTTGAACCATGCAGACATGGCCTTCTTGGCAGACTGTACCCACGCCACCCATCTGGAGGTGCTGGACCTCAGTGGACACAGCCTGGTCCACTTGTATCCTTCAACCTTCTTTAGGCTGTTGCGCCAAGCTGCACAGACACTGAGAGTACTGACACTGGAGGACTGCAGCATCACAGATAGTCACGTGGGCATGATGATTCTGGGCTTGAGCCCTTGTACCCAGCTCCAGGAGTTCAAGTTCCTGGGGAACCCTCTGTCTGCTAGTGCCCTCAGACGCCTCTTTGCTGCACTCTGTGAGCTCCCCAAGCTGCAGCGTGTTGAGTTCCCAGTGCCAAAGGACTGCTACCCTGAGGGCATAGTCTATCCCCAGGATGAGATGACTGCATCCAAGTTTGACCAGCAGAAGTACAATGTGATTGCTGAGGAGCTGCACTTACTGCTACTGCAGGCAGGCCGGGAGGATATCCAGGCTTCCACGCCACTCTTTGGAAGCTTTGACCCAGACATTCAGGAAACAAGCAATGAGCTTGGTGTTTTCTTGCTGCAAGCTTTCAAAAATGCTTTAGAAAATTTTTCTAAAGCACTAAGACAAATTGAGTAAGCGCTCATATCATGCCAAGCACGGGTCTTGCATTTTAGCCCACATAGTACCTGGGATCCACCCCAGAAAGGAGGCTGGGCCAAGCATTTGTCACCAGCAACATCACTGTTAGTAAAAGCACTTGTTAGTAAAAATTGTAGGTGTACCCATTAGATACTGTACAAGAGGAAATCATGCCTTCTAGATGTGGCATGAAGTGTCCCTGGGTATCATCACAGCAGGACCCTGGAGCCAAGGATCTGAGAAAAGAGAGACCACAGTGCCACAGGATAGAGGAGTGCTTGGCCAGGTGCTAGGGTATGTGACAGTGGGGGCAGGATTCACCTGCTACACAATAATGAGGGTGAAGAAATGAGAGAACTTATTGCAGAATGTGTATAAAAGAATAAGCAGCCCATAAGAGCCAGCTGAGAAAAACTAAACACGCAAAGTACAAATGAAAAGTGAGCACAGATCTTTGTGTCCAACAGGAGGCACTACACACAGAGTGTCATGTTCGCAAGACAAGGCCTGGGGTGAGGTGGGTTGCCTTCCTCCCCTCACTGGCATCCAAGCGAGTGACTGCTGATTCTTGTCCCATCTCTGCTCAACAGTCCTCTGAGTCCCAGCCCTGGGGGTACACCTGCTGGGGAGACTGCAATCCAGCACTTGGCAACCTTTGAGGAGAGCTAATTACCATCAGAGAAAGATGCATTTGGACTTCGTTTCCATCCCAACCTGCTTTGTCAAAAAACTGAGTATTAGTATGATTAAATGCTAATAAAACAGAAGTGTGGTTTACTCACATGTGGGATTTCACTTACTATAATTCAGAATTTTTAAGAGTCTAAGACTCTGACCAGAAAACATTTCTCCAATACAGGCAAGAGCTTAGAGCCAGAACAACTGAGGGTCTGAAATATGGCTCCTCACACAGTCCTTCTCTGTAGCTTTGTAGCTGCATCCCCAGGTACACCCCAGGCCATTTGCAGACAGCTGAGTGGGGCAGTCTGGGTGTGGATCCAGCAGGAAGCATCCCGCTCTTCCTCTCCCAGGTCCCGGAAGTCAGCAGCTATGGAGTACACAGACTCACTCCAGGGCAGAAAATGGACCTCTACCCCTGCTTTTGCCACAACTACCTTGACTGTTTTCTGCCAGCTCCACTTGGTAAGTTTTATGAAAATCCTTTTTCCCTCCAGAGTTTGATATTGTAGCAAGTTTTTGAAAAGAGAATAGGCACCATGCAGAATTAGCAATCTAATTCCAAGCCAAAATCAAAGTAGCTCCCCCTGTTTTAAGCATTTGAACTTTCTTAATTAATGGCTTGGCCTCCAAGTGGCATCATAACCAATCATTATCTTCAGGCTGTGCAGGAGGAGGTCCTTGCACCAGTGAGACTAAGCTGGGTATAATCCATGATATGGGCAGGGGCAGGCATATGGAAGTCTGCTGAGGCCAGGGGAAGGTGCTGGTAGCAGATACTCTGTACGGTGTCCCTTCCACACCAGCCCAGAGCCCTTCTGGGGCAGGAGCCCACTCTTCCCAAGTCAAGGGTTGTGGGCACATTCAGCTCAGAGTCATCTTGAAGAGCCTATGCATGAGACTCACCTGCTTCCCTGGATCTGCCAGGCCCCAGCCTGAATATATACTTTGAACATCTGATGAATGTAGGTCACCTGGCCCACTTTGGGAATCTGTACCTGAAATCAGGTAGTATTTGTGGCCATATATCTGGTGTCTACCAGGGCCCCATACCATCCTACTGTGTTTGTAAAAGGCAGATCTTTGCTACAGAATTCAGGATCTCTGATCCAAGGTCACACTGTTGGGAACCCAGAAAATACAGTGAACACATGAGTGAACTCACTCATGTGTTCAGATCAGAGAGATTCAACACACATGGACAGCTACATCCAACTGACTCCTAATGATGCTTTGAGGATCTGCTGTCATCTGCCCTGCTCAAGGTGGTCTTTCCAGGACCAGATGGGTGAAATAAACAGGGACAGTACAGAGCCCAGCATTAGTGATGCCAGCAACTCCGGGGGCCCAGCATTGAGGACACCATGGGGGTTACTCCTTGGCATTCCTAAGTCTTCCTGCTGACTCTCCTGCAGGGTGAGGGCGATGCAAGGGCTCTTGCCTGACCTTCCTATCTTAATGACTATATCTACAGATCAGGACACTAGTGTAACGGAGGCCACAGAGATATCAATAGACCCAAAGGGGCTCTGCTCCAGTCATAGCCAGGGCTCTTGTTCTCCCTTGCCCCATTACAAATTAAGTGACGTTCTAGGGGCTGGGGATTTAGCTGAGCGGCATAAGTGTCTGCCTTGGAAGCAGGCAGTCGTGAGTTCGATCCCCGGTACCGATAAAAAGGAAAAAAAGACAAAAAAAAAAAAAAAACAAAAAAAAAAAAAACAAAAAAAAAAAAAACAAAAAAAAAAAAAACAAATTAAGTGACGTTCTACTTAGCTTTCACCTGCTTAATCCTTTAATCCTGTTACCAATCAGCCCCTATGGCTGCCAAGGAATGGAGGTTTTATGCAGTTTCTTGATAGCTGTCATAGCCACCCCACCTACATGCCTCTGCCAGTTGCAAGCCCTGTCCAGGGCACCTCCCAGCAGGCCCAGCTTTGCCTAAGGAGCAACTACAGTAGCGATGGCAGGGCCAGAGGCTCACTCACAGATCCAACAGCCACATCAAGCAACCCTTTGCCATCAGGAATTCCAGTCCATTCAGAGGCTATCACAGGAACCCTGACAGAACATCCACCTGGGGCTGGACATTCCAACATGGTGCCTTCAGGCCAACTAGCACTATTCCCCAGTTCTTGCAGGCCCACAAGGATATCCCCCAGGGGCTGGCTCTGCAGGGGCCCCAAAGGTAATGCCTGAACTAATGTGAAGAGCTCTCAGGGCCCTGAAATTCTGGTTCTTAGGCTGCTCACCAAACAGCCAATCCAGTATCAGGCCAACTTAGCCTGGAAACTGCCATACTCCTTTGCTGTCCTGTCAGTGTGACAGCAAGAGTCTCACCTGCAGAGTGAAGCTTCTCTGAGCCAGTGGGTCCTTGGCTTCCATAGCAGGCCTTGAGACATGGCCTTACCAAAGCCTTTTGCTTTCTAGACTTCCTGTGACGTTAACAAAGCCACAATCAGCAGCCCTTGATTCTCACCGTTCCACCCCATTCAAATACCCTAGGGGTCACCACTTCCTGCAGGACAGTCACTATGCCTGCTCAGCAGCTGCAGGTGGCCTGAGAGTCTAGAACCAAAATGCAGAGGCAGAACTGTTCCTCCCAGGCAGGCTCAGGGCCATTTTGAGCTCCTGAGATCTGGCCTGTTTTTCCCTACTGCTGCATTGAGGTTCCAGAAGATAGCTTTAAAATAAATCTCCCTCATGTGTGTCCAAGTTACTTAGATCTCTACTGCTTGTGACCAGATTTATGCAGTGAGAAACAGTGATCATTTTTTCAAACCTAGAAAACAGTAGGGCACTAAGAGGGAGAAGTAGGGATGCTGGGGACTGAATTCAAGGCCTTCACACAGAAACTTATTTTTGAGACAGAGACTAGGTCACTCAGCTGCCCGGGCTGGACTCCATTTCATCATTCTCCTGCCTCAGCCTTCCTGAGTGCTGTGATTATAGGAGTGTGCCACCAGTGTATTTCCAAGGCCAATTTACAAAGCTTGGTTTACCTTGTAGGCTAAATAGACAGAGTGAGCCAGCTGTGTGCAGAGTAATGATGTCCCCACCAATGGGGTGTGGAACCACCCCAAGAAGGGAGCTGCCTCAATGGTGCATGCAATGCGGCCCATGCCCAGGGCTCAGTTGTGTGTACTCTGAAGACTAGCTTCTGTATGGGAGCCTTTTCTCACCCTTACTTTAGAGATGATCTCAATAGCTGTAAGCAATCAGTTTCAGGTTAAAAATAACCAGTTTCACATTTCAGTGGACCCAATCTCTCTTTTAAAGAATGCCTAGGTCCACTGGGGAAGCCTTCCCCTTACATCACAAAACTGCTGTGTTGCCCTGCAATTGTCATGAAACCAACACTGTAAGTGCCAGTCTGAAAGATGCACATATACACCATATATATATATATATATATATATATATATATATATATATCCATATTTATGAGCTCAAAGAAGAGAAGTAGAGGCGTCTCCACCCAGTGAGTCAACTGAGAAGCACACAGAGTTCCTACCAGTGTTGTGTTAGCTCCATCCCTGTTAGGCCACTATTGTTACCTCACGCAAGGTCCCAGTAGTTCTGGAGTCAGACAACTCCAGTGTCACTACCTGTGGGACAAGTGCAGATTAACATCCCAGTATATGAGTTCTAGATCCCCTCTGTGAAGCAAGGATGTGTGGAAGAGCTCATATGGCAGCACCAAGATGGCATCCTTTCTAACAGCTGCTTACAAGGCTGGCACCTGGGAACTTAGATCCTGGGTGGGTTCCTAGCCCCATTAATCACTAAGACTGGCTCTGGGTCCAACCTACCCCCACAGAGGAGGTCTGCCACCTCTGCTCCTCTGCTGGTCTGTCTTAGGCAGAGGAGTGAAAACAGCCCCCACCATAATGCTGGCATAAGCTTCGTGAGTACTCCAGGGATCTGTCATGCACGGTTACAGTTCACCCCTGGAGGAACGTTCCAGGTGTGGGAAGCTCATGCCTGGTTCCCTCTGGGCTCACACCACACACCTTCTCTCTCTGGTGACTTCCTCTCTCCTAGTCATGGTTCTTGGCTGTGAGGACTGCCATGTGCTGAGTCCTGGGACACTCCATGCAGCACATGGGACTTGGGGTAGTCCTGGGGAACCCCTACTCAGATAAAAATAACAGTACTTGCTCATAGGAAAGAAGGATTGCATGAACAATATGCAAAAAGCCTCAGTTCATGTTAGCTATGGTGTGAAGGGTGTTATAAGTGCCTATCTGTCTTTCAGGTTGGTTGTGATAAAAACTGTGATAACATACATAAAAATAATTTGTATAAAGAATCACACAAGTTAAAAGTGACCTTATTAGCTTTAAATGGCATGTATTTTTAATTGTATATCATTCCTAACAAATAATATCTGCTTACTGAATACAGACAGAAGCTGAATTCCAAAAACTACTAAGTACCAACTGGATGTAATAAACACTTGGTATTTCTTCCCTTTGTGAGTAAGAGACATCTTCCACCCATTGCAAAACCCTGAGGATATTATTACTTCCTATCATCACCTGCAAGGCAATCTGACATGTTACCTGATACCTTCGAAAAACAATCTGGAGGAGAAAAATAACTCAAAAGGACAATTTACTTAGAGAGAGATCAAAACTGACAGAAAAGTGCTTTTGTTGAGGATATTAGACTTTTTAAAAACAAGTTTTACCATAGAGCTAAAACATGAGGTTATATTACTCTGCTAAATATTAGCAGCTCAGAAAAATACTTGGAGAAAGTGAGTCCTTCATAGCTGCAGGCACCTACAGGAAATCCTTTATCTGTTGAGGATATGCTGTGCCACTCAGAGTGGCAGGAGCAGAGTCACTGCTGAGGGTGGCTGCATGTGGCTAAACACAGGCGGCAGGAAGCAGAAAACACCGGTGCTGTGGTTTACTGAAATGTCCCCCAAAGCCTCATCTGGTCCTGGAGCAACTGAATCTAGCACTTGTGATTGGGTCACTGTCTAGGGCTAGCCTTGGTAGTGTGAGTGTTTCAATGGCCCCGGGTGGAGCCAGGGTAACGGTGGAAAGAAGGTGAGTCTTTCTCTTTTGCTTTTGCTGTTTGCAGCGGCCATGAATTGCGGCCCGCCATGCCACCTGCCACTCAGCGCTAGCTGAGTATGGACTGAAACCTCCAACCTGAAAAAAGTAGACCTTTCCTTCCCTAACTTTGGGTGTCAGGTATTTTGTCTCAACAAGTAAAAAGTGACTAAGACAACTGGAGAGCCTGGAATATAGAATGCCACAACAAATACTGTCTTCTGGCCTTGAGTTTTACTTCATTTTCTCTTACTTCTCTAGTATAACCTTCTCTACTTTCTTAAATTTTTTCAGTTCGACAACTAGCTCCCAATACTTGAGATACAGCCACATGAGACTCCCATTTTGGCCTCTGTTGGTGTTCCACACATCACCACAATATGTATCATGCTTAAATATGTCAGTTAAGCCAGCTGCCATCTCTAAGTCGGCAGCTATGGGGTCAACAGATGCACGCACCAGCAAATTCTTCTCAAGCTCCAGCCTGGTACGTCGGGGGAGGAATAAGCTACAGTAGATGCGCTGCCTTTCAGCAAGAGTCTCTCCAACTTCCTGCAGCATCAGCCGGGCCCTCCGCTGCCAATCCTCCTGCTCCTCCAGGCAGCTCAGATACACGGCCCTCAGGGGCTGCAGCTGGCTTTTCTCTTGCATTACCTGAGCCCTTTCCTGCTCCAGAAGCTTCTTTTCTTCCAACAACTTGCGCCCTTGAGAAATAAGGGCTTCTCGATAACTAGTTGTTCTGTTTTGCTCCTTTTCAAGTTCCAAAGACAGCTGAGCAACAGCACGTCGATTTTCTGAGATCACTGCATGGTACTTGGCTTTGAGCTCCTGCTCAAAAGCAGCTGTTCTCTGATAATAAGCTTGTCTCTCCTTTTCTATTTCTTTTTGAGATTCCCTGGACCAAATCCAACCTGACATGAATAGAGGAGAAAAGGACATAATGAAGAACAGTCTTTGACCTTTACTCAAAGAAAATAATACAGTAAGAATAACATTTAATAAAAGCCTAATACCCACAGAGATACCAAGTAGTTGATGTTTTGTAGGAAATACATAATGTGCAAAGTTCTTATCCTAGAATCAGACTCAGGCTGAGAATCCATGGGCACTCCTGTTCAGTCATCTAATCCTACAGCAAAGAAAACCTACTACTGTTTATTGGCCTTCAAACTGACCATCATGTACCTACTCTGGTCTCAGAGCCCCATAAACCACTGGCAAAGTTTTAAAAAAATCAATGTGGACTGGAAATTGTGTTTGGTTTTGCCCAGTGATCACTAATGCTTATGTCCAAGATGTTTGCTTATATTCTATAAAACCAAACTGAGGCCAGGGATATAGTTCAGTGGCATAAGCGCCTGCCTGGTAAACGTAAGGTCCTGAGTTTGATTCCTGATACCGGAAAAAAGAATAAAAAAAAAAAAAAAAGAAAAAAGAGGAAGTCCAGCCTCAAGACATGGCCTGGTTCCTCTCTCAAATCTAAGGCTCACAAGGTCTGGGACAGGGGGCACCCCCTGCTCTGCCTCTAGCAAGGAGCAGCTAGCTTCCATCCTGTGCCACACAGAGAAATCAAAGACCTGAGGACCTGATGGCCCACATAGTTTGACAATGACAGGTGGACAGGGGCACTAGCTCTTTCCCCTTCCCACTCAGGACAGGAGTCTAAGAAGTAGAGAGCAAGACAAGGCAGTGTGGTGTTGTCTTCCAAATACAGGATGCCCGCCACCTCTGAATGGACACTATTGCCAGTGACTTAAAGAATGCTGGGTATGATATGCTAAACCTAATCTTTTCAAAATGATGTCTTCAGCCTGTTCCTCCTAAAAGTGGCATGGATTTGAAGCCTGTGGAAAAACAAGTTCTGCAGATTCTCAAAGCTCGAGGTCCCAAAGCCACCAAGAATAGCAGTTCCAGGTTCTCTCACAAATGATGTACCTCCCTGCTCCTACTTTGATTCTCTCCTGTCCACAGCCCCTCTGTAATCACCAGTGTTTCCAGCACCTTTCACAGTTCTTTTCCCACTTTCACATGCACCCTGAAGCTGATGTCCTTGCCATTCAACACTTGGCCTCAAGTCCATGACATCAAAGATCACCTTTTCAGGAACAATTAAACAGCATTACTAAACGCCACTTTTATGTAGATGTGCTGCAGCCACCTCAGTTGTGCAGACACAAAAGCAATCTCATCCTCCCCAACTAAAACCAGCTGCTAGTCCTGTGTGTACTGACAATCAAACTCAAAAATGTCTCAGGGCAGGAAGCAGACCAGAAAGCAGCAGTTACAGTGTAACCTGATAAGCACTGAGAGGTCTGCACAAGATTATGGATGAGACTGAGGATAATCCAGCTGCCAGTACCCAGAGGACAGGTGGACTGGGTCCAAGATCTCAGGATTGAGTTGGGAGGAGACAAGACCAGGAGAGCCGCTGGGCTCACTCTGGCCAGCAGGTCAAATGAGGATCACTGAATATATCCTGAGATAAAGAGTAACAGTGATTTTGTCTTAAAGAATAGGACAATTTGACTAGACATCTCCCTGGGGATGCTGTGGGGTGCAGCTGAACACAAGGGGGAGCTGCTACCGCTGGGACGGGTGGGATCCGGGAGCAATCTGCTCCATGAGGAACACCAGAGATCGTGTCTGTGAAGGTCACAGTGCAGCTCTGAGTACCAGGAAGTTCTGGATTTGGTCTCTGAAAGAAGCAGGATAGGGACAGGAAGCCACACGGGAGAGAAGAGTCATCAAGGGACTTTGCAAGAAAAACGGCAACTCACAAAATCCTCATTCTGCACCTCACCTGACAGAAGCTGACTTGAACAAACTTCAGAGCAGCAAAAACACCCAACCAACCAAGCAAAGGCAGCAACAGAAACAGGATTTATGGTTCACACCGCTGGGACTGTGGAGCAGACAGTGTCCTGGTTTCTCTTGTTAGGTACAAGGAAGAACCCGAGATATCACATGTAAAACAAAACTTAGACTGAAAGGGGAGCAGGCGGCTGACTGGCAAGCATCAGAGAGTGAGCACTGCGTGAAACGCTGCTTCACAAATGCAGGACTCCAGGAATGAAACATCAGCAGGTGTGTATTTAAACAAAAGTCCCGACACAACTCCTTCTCCCAGGGCCAGGGACAGAGCTCAGCAGCACAGCACCTGTCTGGCAAGTGCAGGGTCATGAGTTCGCTCTCTGGTACCACAAAACACAACAAAACCCAAACAAGTCCTTCTCCCTAGCTGAAGAATTAGGATATGGGCTGGTGGTATACAATAACTACTATACTCCCACCTAATAATCCAGAAAACCTGCAGCTCCACCTCCATGTGGGGTGGGCAGGGGAAAGACTGAACTGGACAAGATATCAAGGGATCAAATTGTTCACCCAGGTGGGGCAGGAAGGAGGCCAAGGGGATGAGGGGAGGTGGGAATGCACAGGGCCACACCTGGACTTCTACCCCAACCTGGCAATAAGGAGGCAGCACCACTCTCCCTCTCCAAGTATGTCAAAGAAAGCCAGCTAAAACAGGTTCACAGAAAGCTCAGTCTCATGACAATGCTCACAATGCCCAAGTTTCAAACCAAAACCACTCTGTATGAAGGCCAGGAAGTGCTGAAGCTGAATGAAAAGAGATAATCAAAAGATGCCAGTACGAAAAACGAAAGTGTTAGTATTATATGACAGTACTGAAAACAATCATCAAAATGAAGTCTAAACCAAGAAACACAACAACCAAATGGAATGTACTTGCAACCAGATCATAAAAAGGACTGAGATCATGAACCGAAGAACCACTGTATTCTCCCTTCCCGTTCCCCTCATCCCTTGCCCTTGGTCTCTTGGGCCCCTTCCCATTTGCAAGATTTCTATCCCTTTGTCTTCTTTGTTTGGAGTCAGGGTCTCACTGTATAGTCCAGACTGGCCTTGAACTATGTAGTCCAGCCTGACACTGAGTTTGAGGTGACCCTCCTGCTCAGTCTCTGAATGCTGGGCTTACAGGTGTGCACTGCCATACTCAACCCCCTATGTCCTTCTATCCACCTGTTATTACTGTCTTTGTAATTGGTCTTACTGACAAGGTACTTAAGGTTGTATGTCTCATTTATTTTAGTCAACATTTTTCAAGTGCATATATTTTCCTTAAAATGTCTCAAATTTGCCTTTCTTTATAGTCAAATAATAATCCATTATGTATAGACACAACATTTTATTTAGCCACTCATCTGTTCATAGGTATTCAGGCTGCTTCCAGGGTTTCACTATTATGAATTCTGCTGCTATAACCACTGGCATGCATATATCACTGTAGTACTGATGTGGTAAGCTCTTTGGGGAAAATACCAAAAAGGCAAATATCTGGGTCATGTGGATTTGTAATTTTAGTTCTTCAAAAGTCTCTGCACTGATTTGCATTATGGTTCTAATAATTTATATTCCTATCCACACTACAGGAGGGTTCCTTGTTCACCATAACCTGCCAGTATTGGTTATTTTTTTTTTTTGATTTCTTGATGATTACCATTCTTTCTGGTGTAAGATAGAATCTTAATGGGGTTTTAACTTGCATTTTTCTAACGGTCAGACATATGAAAAATTTTTTCACATATTTGTGGGCCATTTGTACTTCTTCCCCTGCAAAGTGTCCATTTCACATGCCCATTTCTTGAAGTCTTTTAGTTTACATATCCTAAATTTTTTTAACTTTTATATATTCTAGAATTAGTCCTCTGTCTGAGGAATGACTGTCAAAAATTTGTTCCTATTCCTTAGGTTTCTCTTCACATCACTAATTCTTTGGTTGTACAGAACTTTCATTTGGTTGTACAGAACTTTCATCTGCTAGTTCTTGCTGTCATTTCTTGAGCAACTGTGGTTCCATTTAGAAAATCCTAGAACATACCTGTAATCCCAGCACTCGAGAGGCTGAGACAGGAGGCTCAGCATGAATTCAAGGCCAGCCTGGGCTACATAGTAAGCTCAAGGCCGGCCTGAATTTCATAGCAAGATCCTGTCTCAGAAAAACAAAAAACAAAAAACAGCTTCTCTACACCTATGACTCCAAGTGATCTACCTGTTTTACCTTTCATTAAAGACAATGTTTCTGTTTTAATGCTTAGATCTTTGATTCATTTTTTATTTTAACTTAGTACATTGTGAGAAATATGGGTCCAGTTTCAATCTTCTATAAACAGTGACCCAGTTTCTCAGCATTACTTGTTGAACAGGCTATCTTCCTCCAGCGTATGCTTTTGGCTCCTTTACCAAGCGTTGAATAGCTGAATGTGTCTGAAGATATTGATGTACCCGCTATTCCATTCCACTGATTCTACATAATCTGTTTTTATCCCATACCATGATGTTTCTATCACTATTGCTTTGTTGTATAGCTTAAAGTCGGGTAATGTAAAGTTTGCTGTTATTGTCCAACATTACTTTTACTATTCTGGGTCTCTTCTAGTTCCAGATGAACTTCAAGATTGTCTTCGCTAGATCTGTAAAGTATGCTATTGGTATTTTGACTGTGACTACACTGAACACCAGTTTGGAGAGTATGGCTCTTTTAACAATATTGGTTCTGCCTATCCAGCATCAGAGGACATCTTCCTATTTTGTGACATCCTCTTCAATTTCCTTTTTCAGAGTAACATAGTTTTTTTTTTGTGGAGGTCTTTCATTTTCTTGGTTAAGTTAATTCCTAAGTACTGTACTTCATTTTTCTGGATGATATGTGGATAGTATTGTTTTCATAATTTTCTTCTCAAGTTCACTATTAGTGTACAGAAATGTGAATGATTTCTGTGTGCTGACCTTGTATCCTGCTACAGTGATGAAGTTTTTTAACAGATTTTTTTTGGTGGAGTTCTTTGGGTCTTCTATGTAGAGTATCACGTCACCTACAAATGATAATTTG